GTTGCTTTGGGGAGAATTCCAAAAGCCCTATTACAAAATGCCTAGCTGGGGAGGTTGTCTAGAGGAGGTGGTCTTCTGCCTGTTTTAGGTATGTGTTGAGACGGATTCTCCGCCGGGCTGTTCGATATTCCCATGAGAAACTCAATGCCAGCAGGGGGTTCTTTGCCACGTTAGTAGATGTTGTCGTCCAGTCCTTGGTAGGTTTATCTCCCTGCTTAACCTCTGTTCTCCTAATGCACATAGCTTAGAGGGATGGGGTGGGAGTTAGCATACTGTTAATGAGAGTTTTTAGGGGGGTCATGGAATGGTCTCTGTCTTCATTGAGCCCATGTCTCTGTTTCCCCTTTGCCAGGGAGACGCATTTCCTGAGCTGAAGAAGGACCCAGATATGGTGAAGGACATCATTAATGAAGAAGAAGTGCAGTTTCTCAAGACTCTCAGCAGAGGGCGCCGCATCTTGGACAGGAAAATACAGAGCCTGGGAGATTGTAAAACCATTCCTGGTAAGGACCGGTTTGTTCCTTTCTTCACCCAGGCTGGTTCATCTTTCCAGAAGAGGCAAGCCCTTTTGCACAATTGACAGTGGAGTCCCGTGTCTCCCAAGGGCTAAGGATAGCTTGGTTATACTGCTTTTGGTATAAAGTGGGGTTTATAGTAAAATTGTAAAAGTAATATGTTATTGTGGTAAAGTATTTAAATAACAGAAGTTAAAAATGAAGATTCTCTTTCCTAAACTCATTTCTCAGAGGTAACAGTTCTTAAGAGTTTGTTGTATAACTACTCAGGGCTTTTTTCTATTTGCATACACATGTATGTAGGGGCCTGTGTGTGTGTTTTCCAGCAAAAATGGAACATATGGTATATAGTGCTGTGCAGCTTGGCTTTTTTTCTTTTTTGTTTTTTCTAGACTGGAAAATTCCAAAAAAAAAAATTTTTTTTTTAAGATTTTATTTATTTGACAGAGAGAGAGGGAACACAAGCAGGGGGAGTGGGAGAGGGAGAAGCAGGCTTCCCGTAGAGCAGGGAGCCCGACACAGGGCTCGATTCCAGGACCCTGGGATCATGACCTGAGTCGAAGGCAGATGCGTAATGACTGAGCCACCCAGGCGCCCCTAAAAAAAATTTTTTTTTTAATTTTTATTGCAGTATAATGAACAAGGGGAAAACCTGATCAATTTCCACAAACTGAACACACTTGTGTTCCGATTAAGAAACAGAACTTTACCAGGAGACCTCTTGTACTTCCTCTAGTTCAATTCTGAAAGAGTTGATGGATTTTCTGACAAGTGAACAGAATCAATACTAACTTGCCTTGTCTCCAGTTCCTTCTGTCACTGCCAGCTTCCTTTGGGAAGGGCTTGGGGTGGCAAAGGAGGGGACTGTCTGTGTCATTCTTACACAGTTCCTTTGTGCTCTGTAGGGGACACTGCTTGGCTTCTCTATGACACCTATGGGTTTCCAGTGGATCTCACTGGACTGATTGCTGAAGAGAAGGGCCTGGTGGTGGATATGGATGGATTTGAAGAGGAGAGGAAACTGGCCCAGGTAAAGAATTTGGGGAGTGAGCAGGAAACCCGACACCAAACAAGGTAGGACTTGGCTGCAAATAACAAGAGTTTCCTTCTATTAAAGTCTTTGGAATTCTATTTTTCCCAAGACCAGTGAGTGTCAAGCAGGGGCAGTTTGGCCCCAGGGGATATTTGGCAGTAATGTATGAAGACCTTTTTAGGTTTTCACAGCTGAGGGTGGGATGCCACCAGCATCAAGTGGGTAGAGGTCAAGGATGCTGCTTAACATCCTACAGTGGACAGCCTCCTAGAACAAAGAATTAACCTGGCCCCAAACGTTGGTAGTGCTGAGACTGAAAAACTGTTCTAGAGCTTTATATTGGGCTTAGTTTAGCAATTTGTAGTCCTTCAGAATTCTTTTTCCCACATTAGGGTAACTTTTGGTTATTTCTTTTACTGGCAGCTGAAATCACAGGGCAAGGGAGCTGGTGGGGAAGACCTCATTATGCTGGACATCTATGCTATTGAAGAGCTCCGGGAGAAGGGTCTGGAAGCAACAGACGATTCCCCAAAGTATAATTACCATTCAGACTCCAGTGGGAGCTACGGTACGTTCGTGTGTTACTGTGTGTACCTCGGCCAAGTCTCCAGATTAGGAACCTGCGGTATTTGACAGAGCCTCTCCTGGAGTGCTGTGGAGTCATGCTCTGTAATTTTATACTTCTAGAGACCCGGGGCAATTAATTTTCTAACTCTTCATTTTGGAATAATTATAGCTTCATAGGAAGTTGTGAAAAAATTTACAGGGACAGTCTTTGTACTCTTTACCCAGTTACCCCTAATTGTAACACCTTTCAGGAAACCAGGAAATTGGCATTGATACAATCTTCAGTGGCTGTTGAATTTTGCATCAGGATAGCAACATTCTAGGGGTGCCTGGCTGGCTCGGTAGATCATAGGACTCTTGATCTTGGGATCATGAGTTCAAGCCCCACACTGGGTACAGAGATTACTTAATTTAAATAAGTAAGTTAAAGTTAAGAATCGAAAGAAACAGGCAATACGTGTTTTCGCTTTTTTGCTTCAGCAGAGATCCCTGAATCTATCCAAGCAAGCCCACAAAATGAGTACATTGTGAATTGACCTTGGAAGTAGGGAATTTATTACTACTCCTAAATACTTCTCAGAATCGCTAGGTTACTGTTCAATAGCTCAGAGATAGAGTGACCAGAACTGTCCCATTGATGTGAAAGTCTCCCCTGGAAAGCCTCTCGGTCCCAAGGTCACTCTGCTGTTAACATTCCCTGCTCTTAAGCCTTTTTGTGGAGTCTAATGGTCTTGCTTGTAAAATAAAATTAGACAATTAAGACCTAAGGAGAGTTTGAGAAATAGAATCCAGCAAAAGATGACCACGAATGTGTGAAAGAAGTCATTGACCCTGCTTTCTCCCTTCTGTACAGCCTTTGAGAGCGCAGTGGCTACAGTGATGGCTCTGCGCAGGGATAAGATGTTTTTGGAAGAAGTGTCCACAGGCCAGGAGTGTGGCGTGGTGCTGGACAAGACCTGTTTCTATGCTGAGCAAGGCGGGCAGACCTATGATGAAGGCTACCTGGTGAAGGTTGAGGACAGCAGCGAAGATGTGAGCCCAGCATTTCATCCTTGTTAGCCAGGGATGGGGGCGTCCAGCACAGGGCCGGGCCTGGACTTGGGTAGCTTTTCTGGCTCCTCACACCCTTGGCCTTGGGGAGCAGACATAACCGATCTTTGGGTGTGGTCCATCGTCAGTGTTTCTGAGGCCAAGGGAGCTGCGTCTTGTACCACTGATCCCACTGCCATTAGGTCCCACTTAGCAGAATCCCTGTGGTCGGGCTGCACTGGTTGATCCTGGATTCCTCCAGGCTTTCCTCATGAATAAGAAGAGGTAGCTCTCTGGAGGGCAGACTTCCTTGAAGAAGCCTCAGCCTCTAGCTCTGCCATTGCTGACTCTGATCTTGGATGAGTTACCTTGTCTCATGGGATTCAGGTTCCTTATGATGGTTTTAAATTCTCTAAGATGCTCCTTAAGGGAACGTCTGTGTGATATATGTACATATATTTGTACACATATAAAGTGGTCTTTATATTTAATGGTAAATAGCTATGGTTAAACTGTAAGAATGAAACCGTTATTTTACCAGGAAAAGTGAGTTTATTGGGAAATTGCAGGGAATTGCCAATTTGGGACACGCAAGCTATGGCAAGACCCCAGGCAAGTCCAGCAAAGGAAGGAGAGGGACTGACATTTTAGGGAGAAGGAGGAGGAGGAAGTTGGGAGGGGTTGTTTTAAAGTCAAGTCCTTCGGAGAAAATCGCAAGTCTGGGCTGATGATGGTTTCTCATTGGCTGAGTTGCAGGGGTAGTTGATTTCTCCTAGGAGATGCAGTGTGCATCTTTCCTTGTTAGGGCCTGTACTTGATGGTTCTTTCCTGTTGAGATTCCGCTTGGCTCTGTAAATGACAGTTCTTTCTGAAATTGACTACTGCTCCTGCTCGAGCTTCCCCTTCTAGTCACTGGGCTCCACATCAGTGTGGTTCCTTTTTATTAATTTTCAGTGGATAATGGTGCATGTATATATATACATACAATATATATACAATAACTATAATGGTATTAATGGTATAATGTATGTATAAGGGTATACACACACACTAGTAAGGAGGGGCTTAGAGAATGTGTAACATATATAAAGAGAGAATATCATATACACATACACACACACACACACACGTATATATATATATATTTGGGCTTATTTACATATTGTTCTCCTCCTGGACTCCTCTTAGAAAACAGAGTTCACAGTGAAGAACGCTCAGGTGCGAGGGGGGTATGTGCTGCACATAGGGACCATCTACGGCAGCCTGAGAGTTGGGGACCAGGTCCGGCTGTTTATTGACGAGGTGAGTTATGTTATGCTGCTCGGCTCTGGACCTGGTTAGTAATCCTCTCCTTTTTTAATTTAAATATCAGCTTTATCGAGGTTATAGTTGACTTATAAAATTCCAAGATATTTCAAGTGTAGGTCATGGTGACTTGATACACGTTAGGAAAAGAATTCATCTCCTTTGGCTTTAAATTGGTCCAGTCATGATTGTCACTCCTAAGTGAAATTGTGAATAGATAGAATATTCTAAGTCTGATGCAGGAGAACATTTTATGAGGGGTGCAACTGTGAGTTACTAAATGGATATGTTCTCAAAGTCAGATGCCGTGATTTTATTTTATTTTATTCTATTTATTTTTATTTATTTATTTTTTATGATAATGCAGTATTTTATTTATTCTGTTCACTAATAACTAATACTCAAGAACTTTTATAATATTAATATAACAATCTAAAAGAATCAACTTACTTTGTTTACATTTCAATATTGGGTACGAGAGAGTCAAAATAATTATGGTCAAAATTATTATAAAAAATTATAGTAAATGCTTGGTGTTAGTCTACATACAATTTAGTTTTTGGCATAAAGTTATTTAGTTGCCAGGAAGAACATTTGGTTTACTTCACTAATAGGAATATCTCTTAATGCTGGGATGGCTTCTTCTGGGTATTTCTTCTGCTGTTGATTTTTAGCATAGTTATCTATGATTGTATGAATGGAGTTGAGTGGAGAGGTACTCATCATGTTTATTCCAAATAAGAGTACATAATCAGTTACTATAGTAATGAAGAAGTAGACGGGCAATGCAATTGCCCAGTATTTTTGAGGCCAATAGGTTAATCCTAAGGAGTTTAGCCAAGATTCAGGAATAAATGCCCACATGAGATACAGGATGAAGCCAAATTGGGAGCTTAAGAAAAGAACAAAGCCATAAATCGCTCTTTCTGGCAATGGCGATGGTGAATATTCCACCATTTTCCCTGTGGCTTTAGACAATCGCGACCCTTGCCGGCCCGGAGCACGCGAGCGCCGGGGACTGCCGGATCGCTCTGCTTGCCACCGCGGAAGAGCTTTATATATTTTAAGTAACCTACACCCAGCGTGGGGCTCAAACTCGTAACTCTGAGATCAAGATTCACCAGCTCTTCCATCTGAGCCAGCTAGGTACCCCAGATGACAGTGACTTTAGTTGAGATTTATAGACTTGTTTCATGGATTGCCTTTCTCCAGAATAACCGTGAATACTTCTTCAGGAGTCCGGGATCCTGTATTAAGAAATAGGTTCTGTTCATGTAACCGAGCTCCAAAATAACAATAGCTTAAAACAAGGTATAAATGTGTTTCTCAAAGTCCAAGCTGATGCAGAGGGTCTGCCCCACAGAGTCATAGGCCCCAGCTTTTCCTTGCTTGTTTTTCTATCCTCATTCCTGGGGTGTTGCCCTTGATTTCATAGTCCAAGAAGGTAGCCACTGGATCCATTTCTAGGCCAGGAGTTAAACTTTTTTTGTTTTTGGAAAGTCCCAGATAGTAAATATTTTTGGTTTTGTGAGCCATACCATCTCAGTCACAACTGTATACCTCTCATGTTGTAGGTAATATATAAACACATGGGTATGGCTGTGTTCCAGTAAACCCGTTTATAAAAATGGACAAAAGGCTGGATTTTGGCCCACAGGCCATAATTTGCCAACTCTTATTTCTCATTCTAGGCAGTGGGAAAGAGGAAGGGGAAGGCATGTCCTTCCTTTTTAAGGGTGTGTATCACATCTGCTCACAACCCACTGACCAGAAGGTAGTCAAATGGCCACACTTAGCTGCAAGGGAAGGAGGGAAACGTATCCCTTATTGCAGGCAGCCACGTGTCCCGCTTAAAATTCTAGCAGTCGGGAAGGAGAGCGTGGTGCTGGGGGATGACCGGCAGGCCTCTCCACCAGCCGTCCCTGCCTTTCACAGCCCCGACGGAGGCCCGTCATGAGCAACCACACAGCCACACACATCCTCAACTTCGCTCTGCGCTCCGTGCTCGGGGAAGCTGACCAGAGAGGCTCCCTGGTTGCTCCTGACCGCCTTCGGTTTGACTTCACTGCCAAGGGAGCCATGTCCACCCAGCAGATCAAGAAGGCTGAAGAGATTGCCAATGGGATGATCGAGGCAGCCAAGGTAGGCCGGATCGTGCGTCAGCCCTTGGTGGTGAGCCCCGCTCCTTCCTGCACTGGCACTTCTCTCCGTGGAGCCTTCTGCTCAGTCCTGATGCTCTTCCTCATTGGACCACATCCTGCCGAGCACACAGATTTGTTTGAAGCACTGATTCTCAACTGCACGGGGTGTAGGGGCAGTGGTGGCATCCCGTGGAGGGGGCTTAGGGCCTCCGGGGAGGGAGCGGAGGGAGGTGTTTGCTTCATTCCCTCCAGAGCTCTTCTGGTTCTGTCTTCTTCACATGTAGCGCATCCATATAAGATTTGGTTCACAGTTTAGCAAAATAATTGGAAATTCCTATTTTGATCTCCTTGACTTTACACGTGGTGCCTTATTTCAGGAGGCTCAGGGCACGTGGTGAGAGCTAGGACTAGAAACCAGAGTCCTGCCTATAAGACTGTGCTGCCTCTGCCGCTTCCTCCTGCACCACCAGAGAAGATCTTTTCCCAGCTGTTTTCTGTCTTTTTCCCTGGCAGCCCGTCTACACCCAGGATTGTCCCCTGGCAGCAGCTAAAGCCATCCAGGGCCTACGGGCTGTGTTTGATGAAACCTATCCTGACCCTGTGCGAGTCGTCTCCATTGGGGTCCCAGTGTCCGAGCTGTTGGAGGACCCCTCTGGCCCTGCTGGCTCGCTCACTTCTGTTGAGTTCTGTGGGGGAACGTGAGTACATCAGGGGGAGCAGTGGATGGACTCGCTTTTTGTTAATTTGGTGCTCTTCTGGGAGGATGTGAGTTAATAGGTAGACCCACTCTTATTTTTCTAAGGTCGAAATGAAGTTCTCAGAAATATACTTGCCAGACAACATTCCCAAGAACTTTAGGGTCCTGTGCTCCTGTCAGACCCCTTGGTGTCCGACATTGACATTTCCTAGGTTTGTGATGAAATATTCTTCCTAGGATGGGGAAAAGCATGGTCTTAACATTTAGTTCATGGTTGCTTGCTCTTGTGTCCTGGGCTGATCTGACAAGAAGGCCTGTGAATTCAGGATTCAGGAAGGCCATGGAGCACTCACCAAGCTCCTGAGCTGGTCCTAGCCCTTCTCCATTCCTGGGGATTCATTAACCCCATTGTCTCAGGGCCTCTGTGTCAGGCCCCACAGCACACCCCGCTCAGGTTGGCTTGCAAGAGCCACTTGTTTCTTCCAACTTGGAGTCATCTGCAGCCCTTGGGGTCATTTTGGGATGGTGTGGTAGCCTGGGACGTTCCTGCTTGCAGGGGAATCTTGTTGAGAAGAACATTCTTAAGGCCATGGTGGAGCCCATCCGGGGCCTCCTGCAGGCAGCAGGCAGGGAACAGGTGCATGTGTGAAGGATGGAGTAGGGATCTGGGGCACCACAATCCTGGCCTCCCTCTGCCCAGCTGAATTGGGCCTTCACCTGAGTCCCACTCTGCCTTATTAATGCCTCTTTCGACCTTCTTGAGAAGCACAGGAAGCTGCTGGCAAAGCCTTTACACCACTCTCGCAGTGACTGAAAGTTAGTGAGCTTTTGAGGTTCTCTGAGCGCCTGGGGAATAAAACCTTTTTACAGGATTGTGGTGAGATTTTAAAGGTAATCCTTGGATATTCTCAGCTAGTGGCAGGGACAGAAGAATATAGTTTCTGTTCCAAAGAGGACCAGAAACAGGAATGAACGTAGAGCCTGCCAGCAGGAATGTTGTGTTGGGCATTAAGGATTACAAAGCACTTTCGATGGATCTCATTTGAGTTTCACAGTAGTCCCGTGAGGGAGAATTCTCCGCATTTTACACACGAGAACACTGAAGCTCAGAAGGGTGGTGTCTTGCTCAGTGTCAGTGTGTTCTCAGCCCCCGCTAGGCTTTCTCTGACTTTCTTGGGCTTCCTGGCCTGAGTCCTCCCCTGAAATCCACGTGAAGGGCCTCTTCCCACTGTCCCCTTGAGGGAGCTTCCCAGAACTGCAAAGACCCCAGGCCCTCACCACGGGCTCCCGGGCGTGGTAAGGACCAGGGTGTGCGGGCCCTCTTGTCACCGTGGACTTCGTGCTCTGCCATTCAGGCACCTGCAGAATTCAAGTCACGCGGGAGCTTTTGTGATTGTGAGTGAAGAAGCTATCGCCAAGGGCATCCGGAGGATTGTTGCCGTCACAGGGGCTGAAGCCCAGAAGGTGAGCGCGGCGGTTTGTGGCTTGTGGCTTATTTGAACAAGGCAGGAGGAACGCAGTCCGGGAATCTGGAGTGTAGATGGTTCCGTAGCTGCTGCGCTCAGAATTGGAAGTACAGTGCTCCGCCCCGAACTGTCATCCACTGACCCCCACCTGGCAGAAGAGAGCCACCACCGCACAGGACTGCTTAGCTGTACTGTGTTTAATCTTTAAAAATATATGTACGTTCTGCCATTGACCCCATCATCTGTCTGTCTCTAGGAGGGTAAGGCATAATTGGGCTGTAGCTTCCAGTGCCCCCAGCATTCACATCTCCCCAGGGGTACGTGCCTAGTTCAAGACACATAGTGTGCGGGGATAGCTGCCCCGGGGTGGGGACTGTGGCTGGGGCCTGAGGGGTGCTGAGGCTTGAGGACCGGTCATTTCGTTGGGGTGAGAAGGGCTCCTGGCTTGGGGGTTCTTGGTTATGCCCTGAGCCTGAGGTAGTGTAGCCTTTCCGCTGGTCAGATGTGTGAGGAGGGCGCTCCTTCCTGGGGCATGAGGCGGCCAACACTTGCTCCCTGAAGGCAGAGAAACTTCTGGTGTCTTGGGGGTGTGTTGTTCCATAGTCTGCCTTCAGTGCTTGCCACAGTTTACAGATAGCACTGAAGCTGAAAGTCACCTGACCCGGAGTTTACAACTCTGTCCCTCTCTAGGCCCTCAGGAAAGCAGAGAGCTTAAAGAACACTCTGTCTGTCATGGAGGCCAAAGTGAAGGCCCAGACTGCGCCAAATAAGGATGTGCAGAGGGAGATCGCTGACCTTGGTGAGGTAGGGGTGGCCTCCCTCCTCAAGGCCCTGCTCAGGGCTGGTACATCAGACACTCCCTGAAGAAGTCTCACGTCCTGGTTCTCAGTGCAGTGGCTCTTTGAACTGACTTCTGTTGTCTGGCAGCCTTGCAAAGGGGGCTCTGTGGATCCTGGTCTGCAGACCCCTGGAATCTGCTTGCTGCCCCCACTGCCGATGGCAGGGCCTGTTCTAAGCAGGAGTGGGCACCAGTGTTGAGGGAAGGGTTGAGGGAAGGGGTGCCCACTGTTTCCAGACCTTCTCATGTCTGTTAATATGTGGAGGCTTCCCGTGAGCCCATCACAGGCTGTGTTCACTGCCTGGTAGGGACCAGCTCTTACGGGGGGTCCCAGCTCTCTCTGTCTGCCCCTTTCTCCCTCGCCCTAATTGGTACAGCTGCCGTAGTTGCTCACAGAGTGGTCGCTAGGCTACTGGATACCTTTTTGTTTTTTGTTTTCTCTCCTTCTGGATACTAGTCAGGGAACACTTTGGTGTTCAAAGCCAGAAGGGTGGGGTAGGCTTGGGCCTCATATCCTAGCTCCTTGTGGTCTGGATTCCAGTGGTATTCTGGTTCTGGTTCCAGGCCCTGGCCACTGCAGTCATCCCCCAGTGGCAGAAGGATGAATTCCGAGAGGATCTCAAATCCCTGAAGAAGATCATGGATGACCTAGACCGGGCTAGCAAAGCCGATGTCCAGAAGCGAGTGAGTGCTGCCGTGCAGGTGGCTGGAAGGGAGTCCGAGGACTCACCCAGTGGAGACTGTGTGGTGAGCTATCTGGGCCTTTGACCGAACCTCTCTTCTGGATTTCCTTGCAGGTGTTGGAGAAGACAAAGCAGCTCATTGACAGCAACCCCAACCAGCCCCTTGTCATCTTGGAGATGGAGAGCGGTGCCTCAGCCAAGGCAACTGGGGGGGGGGCAGGGGGGAGGCTGGGGGGAGGCTGGGACTCCACGTGCCGCTCTGTGCCTGTCCACTGCTTGTCTCCTCTCGGGGTCTCAGCCCTCTGGTGGCTGAAGTGTGAGCTTTGTGGCTCTGAGTGGAGTGGTAGCCTGAGGGCCTGTTCTCTGGGATTGAGGTTAGGCTGAGCCATGGAGGGATCTGGTGGCTGGAGAGCTACGGTTCCTGGGGATGGAAGGCAAACCTCAGAGCCAGAGTGTGAGCAGGGCCTTGTGCTTGGGTCCTCCTCCCCGTACAGTCTCCTAGGACCAGCACCTGGTCTTAGAAGAGGGTGGGCAGCAGAGGTTGCTCCGAGAACTGGGCTCTGCGGACTCGCTGCCCGGTGGAGAGCATGGCTCCCCTTCCCCAGGCCTGGCCTGACAGCAGCTTTCCCCACAGGCTCTGAATGAAGCCTTGAAGCTCTTCAAGACTCATTCCCCTCAGACCTCTGCCATGCTCTTCACAGTGGACAACGAAGCTGGCAAGATAACGTGCCTGTGTCAAGTGCCCCAGGTCAGAATACCCTGCAGCCCTGTGCCCGTGGGGAGTGGTGTTGGAAGCTTGGTGGTTCTTACAGTTGTTTTCCAAGACCCTTTTGTGCGTGTGCAACCAGTTAGAGACAGCCGTCCTCCCGGCCCCATTTGTCACCTCCTCCAGCGCCCCTGCTCTCAGGCCCTCTCCTCGGACACGTTTCACTGTGGTGATACCTCGCTTGGCGACTCCGTGTGCCTCAGCCCTGGCGGCAGCACCCAGGAGGGCAGGAGTGGGGCTCTGTGGCTCCCCCATCCTTTTTCATTTCCTCCCCCCTCCATGTCTTCCTGGGTCTCATCTTCTGTCCTGACTCCCACTTCTCCTGTCTTCCAGAATGCAGCCAACAGGGGCCTGAAAGCCAGTGAGTGGGTGCAGCAGGTGTCAGGCCTGATGGACGGCAAAGGTGGTGGCAAAGATGTGTCTGCTCAGGCCACAGGCAAGAATGTGGGCTGCCTTCAGGAGGCCCTGCAGCTGGCCACTTCCTTTGCCCAGCTGCACCTGGGAGATGTGAAGAACTGAGGGGTAGGGGCAGCTTCCGCTGGGAAGCAGCCTTCCTTCACCCGATGCATCCGTCCAGCCAGCTCTCCATCTGCCACGAGGACACTGGGATCTTGGGACCCTTAAAAACCCCCGTCTGTCCTCCTAACCCAGCAGTAACTGGAACTCACTCACCTGGGAGCTGGCCTATGACTCATGGCACGTATTACATTTCTGCCCTAAGCCCTACACACCAGCGCCATTGTCTAAAACCACTACCCCAGGATTGCCGTTTATCATCGTCCTGCTTGTGTCTGTAGATAGAGTTCTTTGCAGGCCTGACCTGAGGATCTGGGTCTGTAGGGAGGGATCCTTTTTGCTGCAGAGAATAAAAGGACTCTGTGCAATACCCGATGACGCCATTTGTTCTCTTAACTGCCTGCCTCCCGTACGAGCCCCCACATGACAGCCTGTGGCTCCCACTGGTTTCGGCTTACGGTCCGCACCAACTCCAGCTCCAGACTCCTGAACTTTGGGAATGGCCACTGGGAATACCTGAAAACATCGGTGGAGGTGGCCCATAGAATGGGGAATTGGTGGGGTGAGATGGAGAGAGGCATTCAGCATTGAACAGAAGATGGGCCGTGGGGTTACTGGAAGCAGTTCCTAGGGGAAGCTCTGCATTTCTTAGGCCTGTGTCCCTCCTCCCCTGCCTCTTGATGTTGAGTGTCTGGGGGAGGTCAGAGGTGTTCTCTGCTGCAGAGGGTACTTCGGGTGCAGTAGTTGCCTACGCCCACCCCTTTGACCCATCATTCCTGGCTTCCTGACCCAAAGATGAACGGTGAGGTTTGGGACCTGCCTGGCCTGAGTCCTTCACTCAGATGTGAAGACAGCTGGGTTTGGAAACCGTGTGCGGGGGAGGTTTAAAGGTACTGCTTGCTTGTGCTGGCTCTGGCCGATTTCACGTTTGCTGGGTACAAGAGGTGGCCGTGGGGCCCAGGTTCACTCGGTACCGTTGACTCGGAAGGAGGGGGGAAAGTTGGTCTATGCTGGGAGAAGCCGCAGAGGCTAGCTGTCACCAGCCTGGGGGTGAGGGACTGTCCCGGCTTGCAGTGAGAGAAGCATGCAGGGGGAGGGTGCCGAGGACCTGGCTTCAACAAACACATGCCAGGTGAGGACCCCCAGGGGTACAAAGAATACACAATCCAGTGCAGCAGAGGCCGTTTCATCCATCAACAAGCATTGTGCTAGGCAGGGCACTGACGATGGCAGGAAGACAAAAGGCCATTGCCTTCTTGGGGGAACCAGAGGGGAACATGTATGAGAAAGTGACACAAGTGCGTGCACAATTAAAATAATTACAACTTACACAAGTGAAAGGACAAAGACGTACGGCCTGGGACTGCTCTGGCCCGAGAGGCTAGAGGTTGGCCAGACCGGCCCAGCTCCCATTTCTGCAGGCCGCCCAGGCTGTCCAACCATTCATCCATCGAGATCCCAAGGGTCCTTGGGGCGGCCCCGGGGCTCGGCGGCGCTCGCTGTTCTCCCTCCAGGACAGCAGGGGGTGGTGCGGCGCCGCCTGCCGCTATCCCGACAGCCCTCGCGCGGGCGCGCGGCTTAAGCAAGCGGAAGAACCCGCGCGCGAGGCCGGGTCGGCGGGCGGAAGCGGCTCGCACGCCAGGCGTCGCCATGCCCGGGGACCACCGCCGCATCCGCGGGCCCGAGGAGTCGCAGCCGCCGCAGCTGTACGCGGCCGACAAGGATGAGGCGCCCGCCGCCCGCGACCCGACGCGGCTGCGGCCCGTGTACGCGCGCGCAGGGCTGCTGAGCCAGGCCAAGGGCTCGGCCTACCTGGAGGCGGGAGGCACCAAGGTGCTGTGCGCCGTGTCCGGCCCGCGGCAGGCCGAGGGCAGCGAACGCGGCGGCGGCCCGGCCGGAGCGGGCGGCGAGGCCCCGGCCGCGCTGCGCGGCCGCCTGCTCTGCGACTTCCGCCGCGCGCCCTTCTCCGGCCGCCGGCGCCGCGCGCCTCCGGGCGGCGGGGAGGAGCGCGAGCTGGCGCTGGCCCTGCAGGAGGCGCTCGAGCCGGCGGTGCGCCTGGGCCGCTACCCGCGCGCGCAGCTCGAGGTGTCGGCGCTGCTGCTCGAGGACGGCGGCTCGGCGCTGGCCGCCGCGCTCACGGCCGCCGCGCTCGCCCTGGCCGATGCGGGCGTCGAGATGTACGACCTGGTGGTGGGCTGCGGCCTGAGCCGCACCCCGGAGCCGGCGCCCACCTGGCTGCTGGACCCCACGCGACTCGAGGAGGAGCACGCCGCCGCCGGCCTCACCGTGGCGCTCATGCCTGTGCTCAACCAGGTGGCCGGGCTGCTGGGCAGCGGGGAGGGCGGCCCGACCGAGAGCTGGGCCGAGGCGGTGCGTCTGGGCCTGGAGGGCTGCCAGCGCCTCTACCCCGTCCTGCAGCAGTGCTTGGTGCGGGCTGCCCGCCGGAGGGGCGCCGCCGCGCCGTCCTGAACCAGAAGCCTGAGCAACGACGGACGCGGAGGGCCGAGCTGCCGCCGTCCCCTAAAAGACCCGTGCCGTCAGCTTCCAGACTGCACGGAGCTGAGAATTCAGAGGGCTGGACGGGATCTGAGGAGGCGTGCACAGAGCTAATGCACTGGACAGCTGTGTTGGGACAGTTTTTTAGAGACTTCCGTTAAAGAAACTTTTCTATGTGAGCTGGTGCTTCCCAGTTACGACCCAAAGAAACTTGGGAATGCGGCCTGACTCCCAAGTTGGAAAGGACTTTTCAGCTGGACTCGCCTGGAAAACGGGACTTGAAGCTTTTGTCTTGTAAGGGATGGACTCTGCAGGCCAGCTAGTGACTCCCTTCTATGTAATTGGTCTGCTCTTGAGAGAATGGACAAGGGGGCTGTGTTTTCTCATTTATATCTGAGCTAAAACAAACTCCTTTGTATCTGGAGAAGTGTTCTATTGTGGTTCTTCTCGGTAGTGAATTTAAAGGAGCAAGACTCTTTTGCACCGAGTAGTGGACCCATGGGGTCGAGGGCTTGGGACAGCATTGCCTGGAATGTGTCCTGTTCCTTAGACCGACATAAGCAAAAGAGGCCGGCTGAAACGGAAGGAGGTGCAGGGGCTGGTGTGGGGGAATGTGCCTTGAAGGAGGAGAAGCTGCTCCTTGAGTACCACAGTTGGCCACTGGTGAGGTGTGACACGAGTATGGAGGGCTGTATGGGCTGAGGAGCACGCTAGCCTCTGGTTTGGTGCTGGGCAAGACCACAGCTCAGGGGTGGGTAGCTGGAAGGGGTTTGGTTCCAGGTGGAAGCTAGAGGCCTCCTCCGCTGCTGGTAAGAAGCGGGGGTCCGGGCTGGTTTTTTTGTTTTTGTTTTTTTTAGATTTAGAGAGAGTGCATGTGTTGGGGGCAGGGGTGGGGAGGAAGAGAGAGAGAATCCCACACAGACTCCATGCTGAGCGCAGAGTCTGATGCAAGGCTTGATCTCATGACCCTGAGATCAGGACCTGAGCCAAAAATCAAAAGTCGGATGGATGCCTGACTGACTGAGTCACCCAAGCGCCCCATCAGGCTGGCTTTATTATTTGGCTCCCCTTTCCAGTCCTGGCTTCTGGAAGAGTGCAGATGAACTTCCAGGAGCAAGAGCTTCTGGATGTTGGGAAACGAGATGCAGCCTGGCCATTATTCCATACAGCAGAGCTGGCCTGAGTGACCACAAGAGTGGAACCTTTCCTGTGTGGCTCCTGAGCCCTGTGAGTTTGTGCTCAGGTCTGAATTGGAAGAAGGCAGGCAGCCTGGTCCCCTCTGTGTGCCCTGGCTTAGTTAGGAGCTTCTGAAGGTGTGTGACTCAGGGGCCTGCTCAGCTTCTCCAGGAAGGCCTGGCCTGAGGCAGCCCCAGGACCAGAATGAGGCTTGGAGACCACACCAAAAACCCCTGACCAGGGAAAAGAAACACATTTTATTTTTCTCCCTTTGGCATAATTTCCAGAGCAGATCTGAAATACATGGTAACACCAGCAAGAGACAAGATAGAAACAGACATAAAAATGATAGCCCTATTCTGAAGGATAGCTTTTTAGGGTGGATGGGGAGTCTGGAACCAAAGGGCTTATGTAGGGCACACACTGAGGAGCTTAAAGCTCAGTTTCAGACCGGAGGGGCACTGTAGGCACGTGAGTGTTTCCTGGGCACCACTGTAGCTGGAGAAAGCTGGGTTGGCCGCTGCAGGATGCTCCACACTCGGAACTGGCAGGGCCTGGGGTGGGGGTGGGGGGTGGGGAAGAGCAGCCAGAGTGGTACCGGCAGTCCCCAGGGGCTGACGTGCACCCAAGGGGGGCCTGGGCACTGCCCCTTGCAAGACGGCCTCGGCTTCATGAGGATGGTGAGCTTGTGCTAGGCAGCTGCCGGCCTCCCTCCCAGCCCCTATCTGGAAACACGACCTCCAAAGCAAAAGCCACCGTTACGGGGAGGCTTCCTGGCTGGTCTCGCTGAACGTTGCCTCTGCTTTCACCGCACTCATTCCAGAATGGGTACCTCTGGTCGCACAGTCACCCCCGGGAGGCCTTCAGAAACCGACACGAGGCAAGGAAGGGAGCCACCTGGGAAGGAGCCTGGAGGGCTTCCACCCTCTACAGGCTGCCCTCCGGATCCAATGCCGGATTCTTCCCCTGTAGGCAAAACCGAAGCAGGACTCTGGCCAGGAGAGCTGAGAGGCAGGGGATGGCTAGGAAGCGTAGGCCTGCCTGCTAACCTCTTCCCTCAGCCCCACGTCCCTTCCTCAGCGGCTCTGCCAGCTCGGTGCTACTCCAGATTCTTCCTGACGCCTGGGAATCCAGAACCACCAGAGCATTCCCTTCATGGAGCGTCGTCTTTTCCCGGATGTGACTCAGGCCCGGGCAGCAGTAAGGGCCCTCCAGAGCCCAGCAGTCCAAGGGGCAGAGCCGGGCAAATGGAGGAAGGAAGGCTCATTATTGCCAGCCCCTCAGCATCCCGGACCTCGCAGAGATGGCCCAAACAAACGTGGGGCTTGGCCTGCCGCAGGGAGCACCAGTAAGGGGGGAGGATATGGTAGGGCAGGTAGGGCTCCTCCCCAGGGAGCATGGTACCCGACAAGATGGGGCGGGGCAGGAAAAAGGCAGAAGTGGGTTTTAACCGGTTCTGGGGCCTCAGGCAAGGGGTCTGGGGCCATTCTGCACTGCTCAAAGTACACTTCCCAGCTTCCAGGAGAAGATGGTATTTTAAGCCAGAACAAGCCCCTAGTCCCCTGAGCTCATCCAGCCAGTGTCGAGAGAGGATAAAAAGCAGTGCAGGGTCCATCTTCTGGGGATTGTATGGGGTAGACGTCACATGTCTCCCCTCAACCACCGCTGTGGGCTCCTGCACGGACCTGAGGCTCTCCCTTGCTCACAGGGAGGCCGCAAGGAGCCAAACGCAAGGAGGGTGAGGGTGAGGGGAGGCGCCAGGCCACTCACTGCCTCCTCTGGGTCGTGCTGTCCTCAGAGCTGTCTGCTTCAGGATGGGCCCTCTGGCCCCTGGGCTCCTGCTGGAGTTCATTGATTCTGCATGAAGAACCCTTACTCCCTGGGCCCCTGGTTTCTTCACTGTCCTCTGACCCTGTGCAGGGAGAGTCACCAGTTAATGGCCAGGTTTGGAGGCCCCAGCTGATCTCAGAGAGGCCACTTGGTGCCCAGCACTGATCAAGGGTGCCCAGGGCTTGAGAGGACAAGATGGGGAGGGGCTGGGACACTGTTCTGCCTCTGGATAGCTGCTGAGTTGGGGGGGGCCTCACAGAACAACCTAGAAGCCACAGGGTCTCCAAGCCAATGGAACAACTAGAGGGAGGGGGGAAGGGAGGGCAGGAAGGAGCCCTGCAGACAGAAAGCCCCCAGGTGCAGGACCCCAGGTGCCCTGGCACCTTCAGCCGTGAGGAAAGCTGGAGCTCACTGGGAATGTGGGCCCACAATTGGAGGTGTTCGACCTGGAAGCTGGTCCCTCTGCTGGTCCATGCGCTCCAGATTCTCCAGTAGACGGTCCACCTGGGCTTTGATCTGGCTTAGCTCGCCCCTGATGGAGTGCAGCTCCTCAGTCTGGACTGTTTGGAGAGGGGCCAGAGCTGGTGTCCCACCAGGCCGGGAGGGCAGAGGGCTCCCCGGCCTGACCTCATGGCTAAGGTCTGCCCAGCTCTTCTTAGCCCTGTAGGTAAGGGCTGTGCTCCCTCACTCACGCTTTATTTGCTCTTGGGGCAGGTGGCTCTTCCTGGCACCCTTGTGGGCACTGAAGCTGCTCTTGACTCCCAAGCCCAGCTGGGTCCTCCGGATCTTAACAGGCACGCGATTGATGAGTGGAGGGATCCTTGGGTATTCATACACCCTACTGGGACGGGACAGAGAGGGAGTCAGACCGAGCAGCTCCACCAGTTTACCCAGAGGACGGAGGAGTAAGACCCACTTACCCGTAGAGGACATCTTCGCTGTACAGCTTGTAGTCCAGGTCATAGTGACTCCTGCTACAACAGAGACAAATGGAGAAGGGGTCACTCTCCATGGCCAGAGTCCTTGCCTAGACCGCAGTTTAACCTGAAGAAACTGAGGCATGCAACTTCTCCTTAGAACGCCAGGATTCTCCATTAGAAGAGCCCTGAGGGACTTAACCAAGGCCACTTTGGGAGACCGCAGCTTCCCCATGTCTGGCCTCTGAGAAGGGGCACTTTTCAGGTGGCTCCAGGTGACAGGAGGGGGACAATTGCCTACAGCCTTCTGGCCAGCCAGATAGGGGCCCTCCAAAGTTTCCTCTGCCTGACCCAGGAACAGCTGACCTGCTGGATCTTAGTCTGGCAAAACATGAAAGGGAAGAGTTAAGTCGGGGCCCAAAGCCACGGTGGGGATGTGAGAGCCTTTAATCCTTGCGTGGGGATGGCCAGGATGCCGCCCAGCACTGGCAGGGCCAGCCAGGCAGGCTGAGGGCTGTAGCCAGGCCACCCTCCTCTTTGCTCCAGGCCTGCGGAGACGGGAGGAGTTTGGAAGGTCCCAGACTCACTGCCCGTCCGTCCTCTGCCCCTTCTCTCCTCTGCCCTGCATCTCCAGGGAGGGAACTGGTGGGTCCCGACCTGGGCAGCGAGGCTGTGTGGGGACACAGCTGCAGAAGCTTCAGGCTCCCCCTACGCCTGGGGCTGGAGGGGTGATGAGGGGGACGGGAAGGGATGCGTGCAGGGGGCAGCACAGTTTCTAAAACAACTTTCGGGTGATGTGCGCCCACGCCCCCAGCTCAGGCCCAGCCCACGAGGGGCGAGGTCTATAGGGGCACTGGGTCTGATTGGAGGACGTTCGGAGGACCCCTTCCCCTTCATCCTGACTCCCCCGCGCCCAGGCCCGCGGGTGCGAGTTCCGGCCACCCCCGCCCCCGCTTTCTGGCTTCAGGAGGTCTGGAGGGGCGGCCTGGAAGCCGCAGGGATGCTGATTCCGCTGGTGGGAGGCGCGTCCTTGGAGAAAGGAAAGCATGACGGCTGAACGCGGGGACGTTGCGTACCCAGCCCCCGGGGTCGCGGTAGGGCGGGGGCGGGTCCCCGGCGCGGTGCCGAAACTGGCAGCCTACTGGGGGCCAGCAACTAGCGGGCGGTGGCTTGGGGGCTAGGACGGATCTGAAGCTGACGCGTCCCAGCTGGGCGCGACTGCTCCGAGAAAATTCTCACTGGTCTGGATTCCCTTAGATTGTCCGGCGCGTCCCCCGACCCGTCCCTCACCGACAGGCCCAGAACCTCGATGGAGAGCAGACGCGGAGCCGGCGACTGCTAGACCACCTGGGTCTCTGTGGCAAGCCTTTCTGCCGTGTAGCATTGGTGGTTCAGTGGTAGAATTCTCGCCTGCCACGCGGGAGGCCCGGGTTCGATTCCCGGCCAATGCAGACAGTTAAGCTTTTTTTTTTTTTTCCCCACCTTCTCTTGCATTTTTTCC